GATGCTCAAGTCCTATTAAAGGCTCAGTAAAATGGTGTCCTTTATATAAAATGGCAAAAATCAAGGTTTGCTTTTTGGAATTTAAAAAATACATATTTTTTAGCTGTGTATGGTTGAATCTATAGATAAACAACCTGTGGATATGGATGGCCAACTGTACTTCATATTCTCCAACTGTCCCAATTTGGCAGGGATCATCCCAATTAATCTTATGTCATCCCATTTCTTCCAATATGATTACTGGGACACACATGGCCAAGCAACATGAGAGTGTGGTCAAGATGACAAAAGTTATTAATGAGGAAGAACACATGTGAGTTGTTACAACAGTTTGCTTTTGCCTGAGTCTACAGGGAAGAGCAAAAGTCTGTCCCTTCCTGTCCTCTCTGTCCTGCACAATTAACTGAGTGCAAATTACTTTTGCATTTTGAACTGTTTGCAGCTATAATACTCTCAAGAAAGTGAAAGCTAACAGGCATTTGTTAGTGTGACAAATAATATAAAAATATGTTTGCTCTGATCTTACTGAATGGTGAGGGGCAACCAAATTAGTGAGGGGGCACAAGTCAACTTGTAGCAGTTGGAAAGGACAAAAGTTTTAATCAGACATAGTATTGGAAGGTTTGCAAATGGATCGGTGGGAACATCTGTTCCTAACCTCTCTGTACAATCATTGCATTGCATTCATTCTTAAATTATAGTGAATTCCTGTATGTATGTAGACCAAGAAAAATGAGATACTAACACCTTGACAACAATCATATGTCCTTTGTTATGGAAAATCACTTCCTACCTAATAAACTTTGCTAACATGGCTCCCCGACACACTCGTGCTTTTTAGAACTGTCAGAAAAGTTTTGGACGGAGTTCGGGTTTAGCAGGAGTTACTTTCAAAAGCAAACAGTAGAGAGCAAATTGTCTCCTCCTTCTCTATAAGGTGCCTCATGCTGGGAAATGAACTGCTAACACAAGAAGCATTGGATTCCACTTTGAAAAAATGTACTGCATTTTCATCTTGCTGTTCCACCTCAAATCTTAATACATGTGAAAAGGTTCTGTATGATGAAGGGAAGAAGGGCTGTATTGCTGACTCAACCCCACTGATATCTCCCCCGTGGTCCTCACTTGCTTGCTGCCCATTCATGTTCCTTTTAGCAGACAGTATTTTTCCATCTCAATTATACCAGTTCCTTTTTCAAAAGGAGCATTTATTTCTTGCAGTATTTACTGCAGAAATGTGATTTTTTCAATAAAGAGATATAAAACTCAAAAATAAAATGAAACAATAGAAAGCTTTACTATAAACACATACTTTCCCACTGTTCCAATTTGACAGGGATTGTCCCAATTAAACCTCTCGCATCTCACTTTGTCAGCTGCTTTTAAAATATTCCAGTTTCTCTCTCTTCCTCCCCCTTTGTGCTCAGTTTACTTCACCTGATGCAAAATGAGTTCAAAGTGCAAAGGAAATTTGCACTCAACTCAGCAGAAGGCTGAGGAGAGGAGGGCTAGAATCATGCCCTTCACTGTAGACTCTGACAAAAGCAAGCTGCTGCAGTCCCCCCTAGCTTTTCTATTCTTCTTCATTAATAACTTTTGCCATGTTGAGTAAACTCTGATACTGCTTGGCCTCACATATCTTGGTTTTCATCTGTGAAATGTTGGAGGGTATGTAAACAGGGACTGTATATTTTCTTTCAAAGGGGTATATTATTTTGATTGGTGTAGCATCAAAAGGTGCTTGACGTCAATAGAGACTCAATCAGGTCAGAAGATCTGTTAAAGACTTTTTATCTTTTTAATTTAGCCTTCTAAATATCCACAGTGCTGCCCTTCCTGCTCTCTTGCTCTCTGTTGTTATGCTGAGTCACTTTCAAGTTCTTGTTTTCTTGCTTCAGTCTGTACCTTTCCTTTCTGTTACTGAGCGAATGGTTTTGCCTGCTTTCCTGACTCTCTTATTTAGATCCATACATACTGATTGACACATGTTTTTCTTCTTCCTGTTCCCTTTTATAAAATCAGTGGCACAAAATCGGTGTTTTAAGCTTTTCTTTATTATGATAAGGTATTCACAAGCATTTTTAAAATAAAATAAAAATAAATCTATCAATTAAAACAAAAAACACATGTGAAATGGTTGATAAAGCTACTAGGGAAAAAATTTTCAGTGGCTGGATTCTTCACCCTTCTCCTCTGTTCATTTAGTTGGAAACAGAGGTAAAGGAGGTACATCAGAGGTGTGTGCAAAAGGAGGCCACTGACCTCCAAAGAAAAATCCTCCCTCCCATTGAAATTTTATTTCAGTCCTAGTAGTAACCTAAAACTTCAGTTGAGCATTTAGAAATAAAGTTTTGGTATCCACAGAAAATGACCAAAGAAATGCAAACACAGCAAACAGAGGAGTTCAAGGAGTGAATTATTTTCAATGTTTCATTCTCTTCAATGCTAGAAATTTGGAGACGTACAGCCTGTGCAGACTGGCCTAAAGGGGTGGAGTTGGGGCAGGTCGATCACACACCAGCTGCCCCGATGCTGTCGTTATGCTGCATGCCCCACCACATGGTGCATGGCATCAGGGTGCCCCGCTGGCGCAATGTGTAGACACACTGTGCCAAGTACAAAAGAGCTGCGGCGGCGGCACTAAGGGTGGCTTTTTGTCATCCCAAAAAGGAGTGGCATTTGCCAGCTCTTTTTGGAGTGGCAAAAAGCTGGATTGGGGCCACGGCTTGTGGTTGCCACGGCCCCGATCTGGCACTCCCAGGGGCGGCACAGATACATTTTCATTGGGGAGAAATAAATCTTAAGGGGGGGGGGAACAAATGCTTTCATTTTGTCCACGTCCTCCCCACAGTTCCTGAGTCACATACATTTTTTCCTTCATTTCAGACTGCTAGTAGCGCATTATATGATTTGAGCAGTGTTGGACCCATTGTTCATTATGATCAACAAGTCAAATATCCCCTGAAATACTGCATGTAGATATGCATGAAAATATGGCCTTTACTTTACTTTTTGGAAAGAAGGTCATGTCTGACATTATGACTATCTCTCCCTGACATGTTCAATCATATACTGTTAAAGGCCAAACTTAGATGTGATATTTATGAACATGAGCCTGCCACAGTTACTTAGAAATGAGGATGTGGGGCCATTTTTTCACAGTGAAAGTGATTGTGGGGATTTTATTATTTATTTATCTACCAAATTTATATCCTGCCTTTCTCCCAAAATGGGATTCAGGGGATGAGGAATCCTCCACTCTAATAGTTTCTTTCCTGGCAATTTCCCTCTGCCCCCTTCCTGAAGTTGTCCTGGGGCTGAGCTGAGCTCTGATACTGGAAGGGTACTTGGCTGGCAGTAGAGTGAGTTAAGTGAAGGGATGAAGGAACAGATGATGAAGTCAAGGGAAGGGTTATTTTCTCCTCACTCCCACCTATAGCTTGGAAAGTTGCTGTTTAAAAGTAATACATTCCCATTACTCACAATTAACTGTTTGAGGAATACCTTATTACCACTGCTTCTTGCAAACTGGGCAGAGTGTTAGGGGCTGAACAGACGGGGAAAAAACAGGCTGACTTGGAGGCATGGCGTTTAGACAACACATGCCTAAAAGCCGGCAAGAAAGGAAAAGCTGCTCCAAAAAGGAGAAGTTTTTTTTTCTGCTCCTTTGGGAAAGATGCACACCTTCGCATGTGCGTATGTATGCAGTGACACTGGTGTGTCAGAAAAAGGGCACCAGAGATTCAATATGGCTGTATAAATGCACCGCCGCAGATGCGATGGAAATTAAGTCGGCAATCAAGAGTATGCATCCTATGATGCAGGCTTTAATTTAAAGCGCCCTATGCTTCCAAGTGTGGATGCACCGCTGCATATGCGCTTCAATATTAGAACCCTAACCGTAACTCTAACCCTAATTGTAACCCTATGCATGCACTCTAGCAACTGTTCTCTATTATGACAATAAATGCATTCCTTCACATGTACATTTACTGTCAGCATGCACAGTAGTTTGTATGAAAGAGGCTTTTGTGATCTCTTCTGCACAGGTGCGCAGGTGTGCATAAGACCTGCACACCACTTCCTGGCATGACTGTGGAGGGCTCCTGGAGTAACGTTTGTCTGTGTGTCCTGTGGATCATGTCCCTTGCATGACTACCAGCTACGTGTATCCAGTCTGTCCACACAAACCTCCCTTGCATGTACTTCTCCCCTCCACCCTGATCTGTGTGGGACATGTTTTGTCGAGGATGATGGAATAGGTGTCGTTTCAGTTGACAAACTCATTCCTCCACCACAAGGATGGCACAATCAGACAGTGGCACCTGTCTACTACACCCACTACTTGGGGGAAGCTGAGGTCAGTGAATCCTTGCATTATCTGTAGGTGTATGACAGGTCCTGCACAGGTGTGCAGGGATGCTGAACATCAGTCACCTTTGTACACAGAGAGTGACAGACTGTATACCAGCCTGCGCAGGTGTGAAGTTTGCCGGGATGTGTCCCTGTGCATGTGCGCATGTGAAAAAATTTAAAACAGTAGCTGCAATTGCTCCGTCTCCCTTCGTGGTGTCCTCAAGGCTGGTGGTGTGGTTGGCAGGGCTTCAATACAACCTCGGAAAAGCCACATTGAACGTCCTCCACTGTGGTTGCTCCATTCCCATTTAGGGCATCCTTGGGGCAGGCGGTGTGGTTGTTGCAGCTTAGGGAAAAGGCAGCTTCATGTCACCTTTTCCTGTCTGTCTGTACAGCCCCTTAGTTACACTGGTTATTTCCTCCGCCTAGAATTTTCTGTTACTTTTTTGAGATGGACCAAGAATCTCTTAGAGCTGATAATAGAATAGAATAAAACTTGAAAAATATGTTTCTAAAAAACAAACAACTAGAAACATCACTTATACCAAGAAAGCAACTTCCCTTTTGAATATTATGTTACTTATAAGATGCAACTTTATTACTCACATTCCCTGTAAGTAACTCATTGCACTTAAGTAGTTAGAGCCAGCATTGTGTAGTGGTTTGAGCATTAGACTATGACTCTGGAAAACAGAGTTCGAATCCCAGCTCAGGCATGAAAATCCACTTGGTGACCTTGGGCAAGGAACACTCTTTCAGCCTCAGAGGATGGCAACAGAAAATCACCTTTGAAGAAACTTGTCAAGAAAATCCTGTGATAGGTTCACCTTAGGTGAAATGACCTGAAGGTACACTAGATGCACAATGAATCACTGGTAAACTATTTACTTGTAGCTCATTGCTTTCCAGCTCTACCTGTATCTACTGAAAAAACAACAAGTCATTGCCTTGCTTTTGTACATGTTTGGAGCAGATCCACTTTTAAACCCAAAGATGTTTTGCTGCCATTTCTCATTTGGCCTCTGAGCAATATGGAGTCCACTCTAAAATCACTACTTTGTCTGCCCTTGATTTCCATTTTCTTTTTTTATCTTCCTCTATTAATTTTGGTTCTCTCTTCCATTTCTAAGACCAGGAGCAGCTGCAGCAGAATTAGAAGTGACAGAAGAAGGGAGGGAAAAAAGAGGATAGGAAATGAGATGATGGAAAGGCCAACATGAATAAGATGTCTCCAGGCTGCGGTGTTTACGTAGTGCTGGAGGCAGAAAGTGAGGGTCACATGGAAATAACAAGCAAGCTAAGGGAAAGCTGTACAAAGGCAGAAAATTAGGGAGGGAAAATTAAGGAATATTAAAGGGGATGGAAAGTGAGCAAAAATGGAAGCCTGAGAAAGCAAGTTGCAAAGACCAGAGTTGTTGAAGGCCTGGCACAAAGGACATTGTCTGCAGAAATGAGTGTTGCTTCCATACTAAAGCCCTCTAGCACTGCTGATGTACTATTTTTTAAATTAAAAATATCTCTTCTAAATGACAGCAATTGCGGACAAAAACAGGATAGTGTGAAAGCTACCTTGATCTTAATTTGAGGTTCAGTCAGAATTACTAAAGTTGACTTCCAACAAGAATAAATAGTTGAAAACAGAAGTTTGGTTTCAGAATCATACTATTGCCTATGAAATACTCATAATATAGTTGTGCCTCCCCGTTTACGAACTTCACGGGAGGGACAAGTGGGGAGGGATATAATGGCAACATGCACCATTATTTCTAATGGGACACAAATATTTGTGAGCTGCCGTTTTCATTGGGGGGGGG